ACGATCGAATACGTCGCCGAAAACGTTGACTCACGCAAGGATAAGAAATTGGAGCTTTGTTAGGCGCTGGAATATTTAGCGTGTCATCGGACAAACTGCGAAAGCGATGCCTCCTCTTTTATCGCGTTTATTCAAATTTTTCACTACGCATTTCACACTATGTGAACATTGAAATTGGTATGTGTGTGGGTGAGAGAGAGAGAGAGATTGTCTTTTATGTTACGTATTTTGAAACCTATATAGAAACAAAACAACTAATTTTATAGTTATCGATAATGTTTCACGTAAATTTTACACATGTAATATGTATTATATCTTCTTTAGGCATTTGTGAACGGTAGTATAGTTTCAGATACGTAATTGAGACATGCCGATCTCACGTCAATATTTAACAAATAAACTACCTTCGGAAACTACTTCGCACTCGGGAAACTTGCAGCGTAACTAGAGCGATTTTGCTGCATAACGTTGAGCCGACGCACTAAACATCTCATCTATCTTGGGATATGATTTAAAGAAGCAAATGAAAGAATCGAATTTGTTTATAATTTTCATATTTGAAATTTGATTGATAATCACAATAATGTGATTCAATATTGTATATATGATATCATATATATTATCCGTTAATATGTATATTTTCATAATATACATTGTTTTTTTTAAACATATATGGTGATGGAAAGTTTAAAATGTCGAAGCAATGAGATAGATAACGGAGTATTATTTTTCAATTAATGGAATTTTCATAATAAACGCGATAATTTTATAATGAAACATTGAATCTTAAAAATTGAAATTAAATTCCATAATAACAGAAATACGAAATCTAATATATCACGTATAACGTAATACAAATCAATATTATTTATTTATCGGTGGAAATGTGTGACTTGATTTTCGCGAAAACAACTTTTGCGCGCGCGTCTCTCCCATTTATAAGTTTCCCAAAGAATATTTATCAATATATCTGAAACACGAACCGGTTCTCGAATTCAGTTCGCGAATCCTTCGGCGCTTTCGTTTCGTGACGCGAAGGTGAATGTCTAGCGATGATCGTTAAATCACGACTGCCATTTGCCTTCGCCTCAGAATATTTGCGCAGTTCGGGAAGACTTTCCCTGAAGAAGTTCTCCCGCGAAGCGAATATATCCCCGAATATACATCGCCGCCCCCTACTCAGAAATATCTTTCCAACCCCATGTCGGATTCGTTCCTGCGTGGAAGATCGCCCCATTCCTCGTGTTTGCGTAGAGGGTGGCTTAACAAACGAATGTTTTTCGGACATTGGGAATACATTGAAGGAGGCGGACAGAGGGGGTTGGGGGTGGCGAGGAGTACTCCTCTATAGTGATCAATCATCGCGGATGATATCCACTTTTCCTTCTACCACCATGCCTCGTGAACTGTACGCAATAAGACAAGTCGAGATGGGAGGATCAAACATGGACGAAGAGGTTTGGAAAGGTGGTTCCACACGAGAACGGAAAGTTATTCAAATGCTTTAAGTAACGAATTGCGGAAGGAAATTGGAAACGATTCTGTAAGCAGTGATCGCATCCCTGGAGAAGGGCGAGGATTGGTTCGTAAAGAAAGGTCATGACGGAGGGCGAAGGAGAACAGACCTTTTGAGGGACGGGTCAATGTCCGAAAAACATTATACATTATTTATGAGTTCCCTTCCCATCCGCGTATATATGTATTGTTTTAAGAAATCGATATACTCTTCGTACTATGTGAATTTCGATTCCTCGACGGGAAGAGGAATCTCTTGCGTCTCGCTTTTTCTCGAAGCATTCTCGCGCGAATACAAAACGCGATACTATCTCCCGCGCTAATTAATCTCGATCGTGACGAGGCACCGGTCGCAGTTTGTCCGACGCTAACGACGTGACGCGTTATTACCGCTTTACATGCTTGACACAGAGGAGCGGTAAACCGTGCACGAGGGTTAGAATTATGGGGGAATGCGTAACTTCGATCGCAATCGCCTTTCGCGGAACACGCGGAACAAAACGTGCGTACATTTACCAGACGGGGAGCGATAGAGACAAGCAAGCATAACACATGAGAGCGATAGCGTGTATGACGTTCTGGCAGGCGTCAACAAGAATGAAAAAGCCTTTAAAAAAGCGTCATAGTTATACGAAGTATACGCAATTGAAGAGCTAAAATAAACCAAGAAAACTTTGAAAACATTTTTTAATTTATTAGAAAATTTTTAAATAAGAACAATGAGATAATAATGTATACATTTTTTCATCAAATTTTAAATGCAATCTCTTAATTTAGAATGCAATTTTTGACAAAAATTATAATTATTATAAATAATTCTTGTCCAAATATTTATTGCAAATTTTAAAAAAATAACTAGAAAGGAAATATTTCTTTGTTCCAAATTTTTTAAAATAAAATTCACGGATGATATTCATGTTTAGATAAGTTAGAACAATACAACTTCCTTCTATTAATATTTTAATTTGTTATTATAAGTATTTCGTAAATTTCCATTTAATTGTATTAAAAATCAAAATTTACAAAATAGCAGTAAAAACTGAAATGATAATTAAATGACGTCAAAAAAAAAAAAAAAAGATTATTACAAATGAGAAACGAAATGAAGTAAATAGAATAAAGTTTGACAATTCGCGAAAATATATGCTAAATAATTTATTATTTCCATAAAAAATATGAATAAACATCTCGCGACATTATTTGCAACAAAAGAGAGATGCATTCTAGAGAATGCAACTTAACCAAATGTGTCTGTGAGTTTCATTTTGCGAATGCAATATAAAAAAGGCTTGAAAGGAAGACTTCGAAAGGTTCGCCAATAAGCTATCATCCATTTCGATTTCAATAGGTCGATATTGAAAGATGGACGTGCTTTCTCTCTCTCTCTTCCTCTCTCTCTCATTTTCCTTGGATACTCTATTAATCGCTATAGCCGTACGTACATATACGTGCAAGTAGCTGTATGAATGTGTGTATACCATAAGAGTGGACCGCGATGCGGTTCCCTCGCGTATCATTGTCAATCGATATGTACTCGTTACCTCTGCCAGATATCAACAATGACATTTTACCCTGCTCCCGCCGCACATTTTATATTACGATCGATTTCACAATTCGTTAACCGAGCCAAACAGCTTTGAACAGCTCGAACTCAATTTCGCTGACATCGTATTTTCGAAATATTGATGCGTATTTGCAAAATATATAATATTGGTTTTATTACGTGCTATGCAGTTTTGGCTAATAAACACGCTTTAAAAGCAAAAGTATTTTCTAATAACTTTTATCGGCTATTTCAATATTTAGTGGCATTCGCTCATGTATTCAAACATTGATTGGATATTTGCTTTTATTGAGATTGCTATTGCGATGAATTCGTTATTGAAAGGAATGATTGATTTCACATAGAGTGGCTTACCGAAATATTTTCAAACGATAATACATTCTATAAATTGAATGAAGTCATTCGTGAATTACGAGTCATTTTACACTTGGTGTAATATATTTTAAAGCGCGCGTTTCTTTCTCTGCTTACATTCTTTATTTTACGTTCGTATATACAATATACGCGATTTTTGGAGATTTTAAATTCTTTAAAAATTATAGCCTCAACACAAGAGGGAGAGTCAATAGTACACCGCGGCTATAACAGCTCAATAAATTCCAGATCCACGGGTAGCGCCACTTTTTCGCAAACACCCGGTGATTTATTGTCTATCGCAGAACGAGAAAGAGAATAGATTACTTATATGCCATGAAATCTATTGTTCTCTCTTTTTAAAAAATGCCATTTAAAAACAGTAGAGATATAAAATATAACAAAATAAAATTAATTTTCCTCGAAGTTGACGCATCTCAAACAAGGTCTGTCTAGCCCGAAATTTAAATTTGTTTTGAAAGCCTTGCTAAATTCTTATAATTGTAAAATAATAATCGTACAAAATCCATCTTGCTAATTAAATAAATAGAGCAGACTAAAATGATTATCAATACGTATCGAAGTGGTAAATCTTTCTTTACAGTGTTCTTAAATCTTAAAGCGGCCGGAAAACTTTATATAGTAAGTTTTATCGATTTGTACGATTTTCACCGCTGGCTGCTGCCCGAACGATATGCTCGTTTTGTAAGAAAATACGCAAAAGCAACACTGCGACAAATATCGAATACGCGCTCCAATAATGTACAAACTTTTCATAGAGAAGCGAGACCGATTTTGCAGCCGGAGCGAGCAGTCGTGTCGGCAGACCGACACCGCTCGACATTAATAATTTATCCCCGAATATCTTGTAACACCAGACAAAGTTTCTCACTAACGTAGCATTTTTCGCGCTCCCGTCCTCGCGTTTCCTTCCCGCCTGTTCTATCCCGACTTTCGCGCTGTCGAGAGCAGTCCGAAACTTTGCGAAATCGGTGCTGTCCCTGCTTTAAGGATGAACCCTCTCTCCCCATGTTTTAAGGAATTTTATCGTCCTTTTCTGTACGAAGAGGAATACAGCGACATTCAGCGGAACCTGCTAGCGTTTTCGGGCTGTAATTCCCATCGGGAATTTGCAACCCCTGATGGAGGACCACTTGTCTCGCGTACAGTTTCCACGCATACGTTGCATGGTTCTCTGCCACGCAATCAAATCGCACATCTTCTCCGTAACACGGAGCCTATCTCCCGCCCGGCATAATTAATTGCGTCGCAACACGCTCTCTCATCGCGATGGGATCGGATGGACGAAGCGACAGCATAGTCAATTAGCGTGTAGCGATGGGTTAGAGTGCGCGCACACAGCTCGGGTCGGCACCGTTAGTCGGCGAGTTAGTTCACAGAGGCATGGCGTTGTAGAGGTCCAGATTGGGATGGTAAAAGAGCGGTGTCGGGGTGGGCGGATTATGGTGGGGCGCAGGCTGCGCCTGTATAAGGTTTAAGTTCAAGTTCAGGGGCGCGATGTGGGCCGCATTGTGGTGGTTAAGATGGTTAAGACTAAGATGGTTACCTGTCGGGTAGGGTAATCCGAAACTGGGGTACCCAGAATAGCCGCGGCCCGCCGCGTATGCCGCGTACGCTGCCGCTGGGAAACCTGCAAACGAACATTTCCATTGTTATTCTCTTCGTTTCTCTTCATGCGCAATTGCCTGCCCTTTCATATTCGAAACTGTGTGATTTGCGCTTTTCAATACTGTTAAATGTAAAAAGCCGTTTAAACTCTTTTGCACTTTTAGTGCCGCTATTTTTATTATAATTATATATGTTTCGATTTATAATATGTGAAAGCATATAATTTTTAATATCTTCAGTTTTATGGATATATAATTTTTAATTATTTTATTATATTATTGTTAAATTTATTATTTATATCTTGAAAAGTTTAAGAAGAATTAAGAAGATTTAATAAAGATTAGAAAATATTCTTTACCTTATTTCATAAATCGCAGGTCACTAATAAAAAAATATATATTCAGTCATAATTGACTTTATAATAAAATATTTAAAAAATTGTTATCTCTTTATTTTTATAATGAAAAATCTAGATGAATAGCTAAACATTTTGATAGGTTTTCTTAGCACAATTTTGTTAAATATATTACATTGAATCAATAATTAATGAAAATATAAAAAACGAGGGATGAATTTTATCTAGTCTGCTAATAATCAAATTATACTTATTAAGTATCATGTCTATTATATAACTTGATCTATATTCTTTTAATTAATCATCGAGTTCAATTTTCATTAATATAGAAACTAATAAAGTTAGTAAACTAATTTTAGTATTAATGTATAAATTAAACTTAACAGTCAATTAAAAGATATGTTAAAGATAGAATACATGTTAAAGCAATGAAATAAGTGATTATATATATCAAGGTTGTCAAGTTATATGGTATCGCTATTATTTTAGCTATGTCCATCAGTTATAATAGTAGCCGTCGGTAAGTATCGAGTTTACCAGATATAATCTCATATATATTTTATACTCACCATCAGGTAATGCTCCCAGAGACCACATAAAATCTATAAAGAAAAATAAGTTCGATTAAAACGTAGGTTCGAAATAGATCAATGTGTTGTAAATACAACACATTTTTTCTTTTTTTTTTCTTTTCTTTCTTTTCACTTTTTTCAATTCTTTTCCCTTCATTCATATTGCGTGTTCGTTAGTACAACGATTTCAAGTCTCCATCAAAATTTCTGCAACTACGTACGAAGAAAGATATTGATCGCTCGAAAACTTTTGAAGTGGCTTTAACGTTGGAAATGAAGTTTTCACGTGCCAATTCCATGAGAATTATATACCACGAGACCAATATTTTTCCTCGAGCAGGCGAAAGATAGGCATAGACATTTAAGAATATGTACATGGAGATATAAGTTAAATGTATGAAGCAAAGCGTTGCAGAAATTCGTCGGGATCAACGATTTAAGTGTAACGGATGACTAGGTTCAAACGATAAAGAGAACGTAAAAAGAAAAGAAGAGAAGAAATAGGATTAAAAGCTTTCTAGGTTAATCAGAGAGTAAGAAAATGTGTGTGAGATAGATAGATAGAGAGAATGAGAGAAAGAAAGGGAAAGAAAGATATAGAGACAGAGTAAAAAAGAGAATGATATAGAGATCAAGGCATTCATGAAATTTCATAATTCGATACTAATTCAAAGACCACACAACTAAGATTTTGACTATTTATATATGTATATCGCATCGACTATATAGCGCATCGACTAAACTGTGTGACAAGGTACTAGTAACTACGCGCGGCCGAGGTGTCTTCAATCTACGACAAAATAAACCCTCCTATAAACTATGGTTATTGTAGCCTCCAAAGGTATATTGGTTAATTATTTACCGTTAAGTAATATTTGCTAGGCTCTCTATATAGCTTATTAGATATCGACTAAGGGTCGGTAGTATGCCACTACTCGATTGTTGCCCCACAAACTCTGACAAACTGTTTGCGGAATAATTTGAACAAAACATGTTGATGTGTCGATAGACATCCGTCGATCTCATTTTTGTTTTTACATCGTATATGTATATGTGTGGCATATTATCGACACCACTACCACATTTATATATTGACGATACAATATTGAAAAAAAAACACCGACCACAATACTACACTACTGACTCACTATGCTAGTGTCCATATCGATGTTGCTCTCACAATATACGCAGATGGAAAAAGTATAAGAGCATTTATTCTAGCCATTAAAATATACACTGATACATATTAATAGTATTAGTAATTCCGTACCTAAAGTCTCTCTACCGGGCTGGTTTTGATTACGTCAAGCGCGCTCAATGGCATTTTACTATCGTTTTGCTCTCTTTTCTTTCTCTGTCTTAATGGCTTTCTAAATTCTTCCGAGCTACAATAAAATTTGCATGTATACGTCGAGTACTATCTCGCATTTATTTCAATGGAATCGTGTTTGCAGCATAAATATTATAGATATATTTTTATCACTTCATCGAAACACACGTAAATAGATCTCGACGATACTACGATAGAATATTCTTGCGCGAATTACGCGCATGCTTTTCTATACGGCATCTACATAATACACCCTGTGTACTTTCTCAGATGCAACATATCGATCTCACGTAGAGCAGACGTTTACGTACGACATTAACATTAACAGTCTCTCGCAGTTCCGAGGAGCGCATAAAGCCTGTCTCAGCTCGAGTTTACGATCGAGTTGCCGGTCGATTAACATTTACGTCACATTGATGGAGCTTCGGCAACGTGGAATTCATTGAGCTAGTCTTACTAGAATTTTATGTTTCCCCTTTTGATGCGTTTCCACTTGGGGAGGATGAGAACATTCGCGAGGCCGTGTATCGAGGGTGCATTCCGTCTTGAGTCGTTCTGCACCCCCGTTACAAGTCGTCTGTATATATATATGTATATATAAACATATACTCGTGTATATATACACGAGTATACGTGAGTCGAATATTCTATAATCCCGTGAAACCAAAATCCGGCCCCAGCCAAGCATCACAAAGGCCAACAGAACGAAAGCTCGTTTCGTTCAAACAAATCTCTTCAAAGTTTGTTCTACTTACGAAACTGACAGTGTTGCGCCTCTCGGGCTAAGTACGTATTGTCTAGGACACACACGTCTCACGCATTATTATCAAGATAAACGGTACTATGGTGGTTTAAGAAGAGTTAAGTACTATGTAACAAGTAGTATATGAGTAGGAATACTGGGGAACTTTTCTGAGGCATAGGTATAGACAGGTATACGCACGATATATATTTAGTATGTATCCTATATAGAAAGGTATAATATTACGTGTAACGTAATATAAATGTACTATGTAACGCTATATAGCTCGTTAAGTAAATAGGTACAATGTAATAGGTTTCTTTTGAAGCCGCTGGTAAAATGCGTGTTCTTTGCGGAAGACGCCGAGGTTCCCACTTTATACTTCATTTTTCTCGAAAAAAAAACTCATTGTGAATGAGCATTTGCTAAAGCGAATGTGAGTAGGAATGTTACGACAGAATTCTAGTTTTTTTTTCAACAATTTTTTTCTGTCGATAATTGCAAGTAAGCCTGCATACGATCTTCCGCGAAGAAGTGCCTAAAGTATTATCTAAGCTAACGATATTATATAGTGACTTCCCAAAAGCTATAGTCCACTAGTAGTCAACGGTATAGGAACGTGTACATAGTATATTAATTCGCCCAAAACTGATTCGCTCTAACTAATCGAACCTAGAGCGCCTAGAGTCTCAATAATGTCTAAAGTCTGGTAACAACACAAATGTTTACCTAATTACCTAAATATATATAGATAGATAGATAGATAGATATGTATATATATATATATATAGCTCCCAGATATGTATATCTGTTTGATCTATTACAAAAAACTATAAGGTGTAATATATGCGGCTCTCACAAAATAGATCGATATCAATATCAAATGCTATAGTATTACCAAATATAGTTAAGATATACAAAACAATATAACTTATATATCGTCTGGCGTAATCTATAATGGGTCGTTAGGTACATATCTATACGAGATGTCCGAAAATCATTGATATACATCACTCGGAATTTATTTTCTATTTTTTAGCGGCTTGATATTGTCAATATTAAAAATTCAAGCAATAAATAATTAAGTTTGAAATGACAATTTTTTTTCACGTCTATTTAACAATAAAATTCATCTCATTTATATTATTTATTGTATTCTAGATATATATATATATATATATATATATATATATATATATATACACATATATATATATATGTAGAATGTCCTTTCTCACCAAATTATTTAATTTTCTATTTCACGAACCTCGATTTCTCATGCCTATCCATAAAACATGTTATGGACACATTACCGTTAATTTTGGGACACCCCATACAAAGTATATAGAATATAAATATATTATATGTATACGCGTATATGTATATAGATTCACGTATGCATGTATATACATATATGTAGATATAGTGCGAAGAATTTGTGTCTTTCTTTCTGAGTATCTTAAATATCGTTTCGAGAACACTCTCTCTCTGAGTTCCTTCTTTCTTCGAAATTATGAAATTTCATGAAGTCACTTGCGAAAAATATTCCGGAAGTCGCGACAAAATGAGAAGTTCACACCGACCATTTGCTGCGAGCTCTCGTCGCGCTAACCGCCCCCTCATCGCATCGCCGACAATTTTTTTGTCGGCGCGTCGCCGCTAATTGATTTTCTTCAATTATCGCTCGTATCGCGGCACACGCGGCACACCGCTACCTGGGAATGTGTTTTCCTCTTTTTTTTATTTTATATTTCTGTTTTCTGATAAAATATTCAGTAATCAACGCGGCCTCGACGAAGAGCGCGCTCACCGATTGAGCGAACGATTGTTTTCGCCCCGATAAATATCCTGCCGTTTTTGACGACGCTCGAAAATACGAGCCACGAAAAAAACGCGAAACTGTATTTTTATTTATTTATTTATTTTTTTTTTTCATCGCGGCTTCTCTAATTATTATCATCCGGTCTCGTCGCGCGTAACCTCGCAGACGGCCATTTCTACGTTTAGAGCTTTGTTCGCGTCGCTAAAATTTCAACTAAGTTCTACCAACGAATTGACAGCCACCAGGCGAACATACGATCTCTCCATCGGGGAATTGTCGTTTCGTTTTCCCGTTCGGGGTGACCTGAAAATCGTCGCACGACAGGAGCTCACCTGTCCTTCGATTTCCTATCGTCCTATCGTTTCTCTTTCGTTGAAGGTTCGATGTCGGCGTTAAGTTCTACAACGTTTTAATTGAAATGCTTTTAACGGCAAGTGATGGACGCCGAGAACTTAATTATCGACGTTGGTAGATGATCGAAACTTGATTAGACATGACTTGTACCAGTTACCCTCTCTCTTTCTCTCTCTCTCTCTCTTCGTCCATTTTACCTATCTTCATTAATTAAGATGTTTCTATAATTATATTTAACCTTTCAAAGAAATATATAGTATATATACTTTTTTATTAAATATCAGCATACAATACTTTAAATCATTATTGTTATTTCGACCTTTTATAAACTTTCGACATGTGTTTATGTACCAGTTTCAAATTAAAAATATTACGATCGTACAGAAACGTGTTTCACATCGAGAAACGTCAGAATAGATTATTAGCTTCTAAAGGTCAAAAGATCAAGAGTTCCATGAATTTTATTTTTATATTTAACATCATTTATTTTGAGAAGTAATAAATTTTTCAAATTTATTATATGTATTTTAATTCTGCTATATACCATAAATGATTAAATTATTTTTACATATTATGCATTTTATTAAACATTACAAATATATAAATCGAAAGACAATCCCCGAAGGAGATACGTTTGACGCGACGGTGATTTTTCACTATTGAGCAACATTGGATCATTTCGGTCCGTTTTTCTTTTCTCTACATTTGAACACTTTGTTTATTGTCCTACTACCTGCGTTGCTAATTATCTACGAAATAACTACCAGTCTTTTGTGATACGTTCTCGTTGTCTAATTTTTTTCACTACAAGAAAATGAGGCCCCATAGGTAAACTATACTACGCGTCGAATAAATCTGCAATTTGCTACGCGTTCTGTTTCTACGATCACAGTTTTGCCGAACATTTTGTAAACCGCGAACAGCTCCGCGAAAGTATCGCGTCCTCGATATGTATCTCGAATTGGAAAATAAGAGCTGTCTTTCTAATCTACGATATTGCACTTTTCGATATCGATATCTATCACATCCGGTTGTTCGATCACTCCTCTATAATCGACATATATTAATTAATACTTTCGATTTTCTTCGTTGACTACTTACTGTAAAACGAAGTCTAAAACAGTCTCAATTGAGGAATGTATAAAACATCGTTTAATCTAGTGCAATATTTCGTCGAAAAAAATTAATCATGCACTATGAAAAAGATTAGTTCTTTTATTGGAATCTACAACTAGGGTAAAGAAGTAAAAATCTCGTATCTTGAACAGTACGTTGGCCAATTGAGTCTTACATAGATAGATTTCGATAAAATGCTGATTTCTTTTATATAAAAATATAGTCAACTAATTGAGCTCTGAATTGTGTAATTTATGCGAATAATATCTATTCGAAGAATCTAATTTTTTGGCACATATCAAAATACAATCTCTGAACAAAATTAGAGACAATTTCGCGTTTGCATTTCGCAAAACCACGCCACTACATCGTCCTTCGACGCGCGCGGATTGTTCTAAATTGATCCTTACGATTTATCCTCCATACAACGAGACCGGGGAAAAACATCGTCGTCGAGAGTAGAGAATAACGCACAAAAAAAAACGTCTACCGATCGATCGAAAGCAAATCTAGCAAATAACGAAACAATCTACACGGACGCGCAAACGCAAGAATACGAGCCCCCCCGGAGAATCGCGCGACGATTTATTGCGGCCGCGAGAGGGGCGTGAGTATCGTAGGTCATAGGCCGATCGTCGGTATCGGGTGGTAAACGGCGCCCATGTCGAGGCCCTGCACGCCAAGTAGATCGCTCATGGAGTAGGTAAGCGCGGCGGCGCGAGATGCTGCCGCGACCGGATGCGGGCGGTAAGAGGCCGCCGCCGCGGCCGCGGCCGCAGCCGCGATCGCGCGCTTCACGTCGTAGACCGCCGCCGCGGTGGTGGCCGCAGCGGCGGCCGTAGGCGCGGCGGCAGCACCGGCCGCGTATTGGTAGGTAGCGGCCGCGTTCGGTGCAGCGGTAGCGACTATCGGAGCCAGCAAGTGGTGGTGAGGAGGTCCGGCGGTGGCCGCCGCGGCCGCGTGTGCAGCGGCGGCGGCCGCCGTCGGCAGAGGGTACGGCGCGTAGCGATAGGTGGCAGGGGTGGGTGTCGCGACCATCACCAACTCACCGTATGCGCCTCTGCTGGCCGCTCGCGTCTTGGCCAGATTTGCCGGGAGCATCACTTCCTTCGGTTGTGCCTTCTTGCACTCGACCTTGAAATGTCAGATAGAGACAGGTAAGGTGACGGGTGAGCGTCCGCCGGCTTCGAACGAGATTTGACAGGTGGCTGATGATTGAGATACATCTCGGGAGGTATTTCGTATGTTTTACTGTTTTTCGGAATCATTAGAGTGTGTGTGTTTGTCTGTCTGTCTAATTTTGTGTGTATGTGTGTGTCACTGATTGTGATAAATCATCTCCTTGAAGTGTAAAGAAAAATTAGCGATTCTATTCGTACTTTATTTATATTCGGGAAAACTTCTTCTGTTCATTTATGGGATTGTTAGTTTTTGATCAATACTAAAAGTACTTTGGAAAATTTCATAAAGAAATAAGTAACTGCTGAAGATGAGATTTCAAGAGATTTTTGAATTGGATCAGAGCACGCGAGCTTACTTCGGGATTATTACAAGGTGGCATCAAGAAAATACTATACCTAACTGACGCGTGAAAAAGCTTTCTGTTGTAACAGTAGATAAACAGAGTTCTCTAGAGAATCCAACAGCCAGCTCCTTTCCAATCTTTTATATATATAACTATAGTCTTGCATGTATATTCCACATGCGTATCAAATGCAAATATAACGTAAAGACTTTTCTCGGAAAAATTATATGGAAAATTAATTCTGCTCGATGCTCTATTTGCAAGCAGGGAGCAGATATCTTTTGATGCGACCTTTGCGGACACTTAAAGTAAAGGGAATACTCTTAGTTTTTTCTATAAAACAGACTTTTTTTTACTAACGACTTACCATTTTGTTGTTGATTTCATGGAAATGGATCTCGCAGACTTTGTCGACGACATCCTCGCTTTGAAACGTGACGAATCCAAAGCCTAAAAGAAATCACATAAAGTCTCGTTAATTAGGTTTACATACCAGATTAAGAATATATGAAATCAATGACAAAAGTATATGTATAGTTATTCTCCATATATAATACAATATTATCTCTTTTTCTATCAAATTCTTCAATTTTATAATAATTTGTGCCACATATAGATATATCGCACATTAAATAATAAAAAAATAAGTTATTTATCATATATTATGAGTAAAGAGGTACTTGACATTCAACCGGATCTCAATCCGCATTAATAAATATATCTACATAATTTTGAATGAAGTAACCGGTATTGGCGAGAACGCAAGCTCTCCGGTTCTCCTTGCATATTCGCGGAAATAAGAAACCATCCAGATTTCCATTAATTTAGCTGACGGAGCAAACGAGCCTCGCTTCTTCCCTCGTACCGCTCGAACGCGGTCTAAGCGAAATCTCCGCGAAATTTATCTCCGTAGTCCAAGACGAACAGCGGGAAGGAGAGACAGCAAGCCGGCGAAGAGAGAGCCGTAACTTAATCAAGCATCAAGGGTTATTAAAAACTTTGCATTGCTCTCCGGGCGATTTTAATCTCGCTCTTTCCTTGCGCCGGCGCTTCTCTCCTGGCTAGTAATTCAGACTCGAGATATCTGGCGAGCGCGAGTTATACGAATTTAGCGCAAGATGTTGTTTAAGATAAGGAGTTAGTGAGTTAATGTTTTCATACTGAAGCAGTTGCTAAAACTACGCTAGGTGACCCGTAATTAAAAAGCGCCCGATACGGTCATTCGAGAGAAATATAAGCCGGCAATGCACGATTCTAGTCCATGAAGATATATCAAGACTGCAGAAACAATTAATTTCTATATATTATTTTCCCCATATTTTTCCAAAATTATCTTCTCTCGAGTGTAGAGAGAAAGAACTTAAACGCTTAATGAAAACAGAAGCTTTCAATTATGTATATCGTAATTTAAGTTTAAATGTTAGCAGATAGCGAACGTAGAAAATAATGAGATAAAAGAAGGAAAGACAAATTCTGTACATTCTTTATATAATTCAGGCAAATAATTAAAAAAGAATTAGAAATTAAATTAGAATATATAATCGACCGAAAGATAAATGTAATGAATGAAAAGATGACTGAAAAGTTAATTACTAATTTAAGAGATGACGTTTTCTTATACATAAAACAAACAAGTCGCGGAGGAAAAAACTTGGCCGTGTTGATCCGAGGCAATATGTGTGCGACACATTCAATTATTCAATGCTGACATCATTAATCGTTCGGCTTGTTCTCCGCCTGGATTCTTTCTCTCTTACATCCTCCGCGCGCTATCTGTCTCCGACATACCCGCTCCCATCTCTCGAGCGTTCCGTTACGTCTCTCGCATCCTCTCATCCACCTAAGCTCCTCCTCTTGCTGCGAGGTAGCACGAGTGATTAAGTTATAAACTTGGCAAGACGTCCGTTTGAGCGCGGAAGGGGCTTACTTCATTTATGTAATTTATAGTACTCTGCCAGTCTAGCTAACTCCACGGAGCCCAAGCACTCCCCTAACACAAAGGCCATGTCCTGACACCGGTAACATTTAACTACCCTGCTCCGGGGCTCCCTGCTCCCATCACTTTGACTATTCTCTCCCTTACGAGCGTAGTGCGGCGTCGTGGACCACCGTTGACATTCCTTGATAGCGTTTGTCTTTTCAAGCGGTATTGCATAAGGTATCAAGGAATCGCTTTCCTTAGACTGCAGTGAAGAATTACGATTCATTCTGTTAACGAAATTCATTTCCGAGAAATTTTATATAATAATAAATAATATGTGAAAATATTTGTAACAAAATCAAGTCTTTAATCAATTTCGAGGATAAAAGATTTGTCATTTTTAAGACGCGCTTCTTTTTACGGCGTTGAAACCGACAAAGAATGACCGAGAGACATGTAAGAGCACGGTCAGCGATTCACAAAAGCCTCAATAAATCGCGAACAGAGCGGGGGTATCTCTTCCCCCGATCGAATTCGAATTTTCATAAGGAAATTTATCTCCGTAACCGGGACCCCGTAGCCTTCTCGCAAAGCTCCATTTTTGCGCCGTGGTCGACTTAGAGGGATGTAACCGACTGGCCGCCATAGAGTTGAACGAGGCGAGGAAAAAAATGCGTGCTCAGCTGGTCGCCGCAGATGCGCCTCATTTCAATAAAAAAAAAAAATCTTCAAATATCTTTCGCCCGTTTTCTACAGGCTATCCTCTTGGCCCATCGAGAACTCCTTAAATGTTCCATAAGCTGTTCCAATGGCGCGGAATTACCGTAGCGGCCTCCCAGGTCGCTAGATTATCGCGTATTCTTCTCCTTTGTTCAACGAGGATGCAAATCGAACGGGAGGAATATCTAACGGGTTTCATAAAACCCGTGCGAATGGGCTAACGGAGCAGTTATGGCAAAAACGATTATTTACGATCTCTCTCCACCTTGCGAACGCTTACTTACTTAAATATATTATGCTTGATCGATGAGGCGAGAGGCTGGCACGTGCCTCTCATTATTATGGATTGCTATAATTGCTATACGTTCAATTAAGTCGTCCGACTTAACTGAGCTAATTAATAATGCTTACAGTACTTATTGATGATGAAATATCTAAGAATTTCGTGGAGAACATTTTTTCACTGTTTTCATTAAGACATTTACGCATCATATTATTCGATAGATGAATATGCGTAATAGTAATAGAACATTGTGTTAATATATACACAAATAAAAATGTGCATTATACGATATAAAATTGTTATCCCTTTCTGTTAGCGCAGCTCTATTCCGTGTCTTGTGCAAAGAAATCGAAGTAGCAAATGTCGACGACGACGACGACGAGAGAACAGCAGTTTTCCGTTCTCTCACCGCCGTCTTCTCTCCACTTAGTAGCACGGCACTCTTCCTCACCCTTTCGTCGCCACTCGTCGACCCCTTGTTTCTTCCTATATCGCTTGTTCTCCCTCCGATTCTTGAGTATAATGCGACCCCGCCGCCATTGTAGCGAGCAAGCGCGTGTTAACGTTTAAAAGCCGCGCGGCCGGCGAACACGTTTCAGAATTTTATCGTGCATTGAGAATAAAGGTAAAAGGTTTCTTTCAAAAGGCACGCCGGCGGAACGATTTAAAACTTGTAAATGGATACGAGGAGTTAGACCTCCGCGCTCTTTCCGTTTTCTCTCCCCCGGTCACACCCTTTCCACCTTCGCCCCCGTCGGCACATAAAACTTCCGCGAACTTTTGTTTGTTTCCCGCGACGTATTTACGATGCGGAATCTCGGTGATCGATACGGAAAGAACTGCCAGGGAACGAAGCAACTATTTTATTTTTAATACCGTGGAATTTTGATGGCCCGTTTTACGAGGGACGCCGATTATTACGATAATGTTGCTTCTACATCGATTTAATATTGTAAAGCTCGCTTTATTTTGCATCTTTCTTGTTGAATTTCTACATGTTATTATAGCGTTAAAGTCTTGTAATTAGTTCTTTTTTTTAATTACTATACTGAATAATTAATAATACCTATTATATATTACGATTATTTTGATTGTATGTAATATCATCGAACTTTGATCAATTTCATAAATCGAGTATCGAGCCGATAATAATAATAATAGTACCTATACATATCTAATGTTATGAAATAGATTATTTCAAATCTCTCATATATATCATTATACCGCAAATCATATAATTAATTTTCACCGATATATTCGTTGCAATTTCGATAAGTATTAATATTATTTCATTTTTAATATGATTGAACTTTGACTTTAACTTATCCTAACAGAATCTCTCATCGTAGATATTGTTTTATATTGAGATAGAATTAAAAAGCTTATTTAAGTATTTTTTTCATTGCAACTTATAATTATTTGCAGCATTATTAATAACTTTTTATATAAAATTTTATTGACGTATTTACTGTGATGACACATTTATTATAATTAAATATCTACAATAGATCTGTCTCTCTTTTTCTGCTATCTATTATCAGATAATTAATTATATTTGACCAGTATAGAATGCGGTATTTTATTCGTCAATATAATTGAACAAAAATAACAAAATTTATGGACAGATGTAATAATATAACAATCATTGATATAATGATTGCTCAGTATTCACTATTACATATACTCTTAAATTCAACATTAAATCCATCATTTCAACCTCAATTTTCTTAAATTTTCTATTCCGAATTTCTAGTTAGCCACTCGCGATCTTATTTTCATCAAAGACTATTATTTTTGTACACATACATATATCATTATTTCCGATTATCGATTACACACCTAGATATTGCAATACGTACAAGTACGTACACATTCCTAGTTGAGTAGCAAGATGACCGAATACAAGTGGTGGAATTAATTTTAATCTTTTCATTTTGCCGTGACCTCAATCACTCTTCTTTGATGTGATAATAGTCTTTGTAAGTCCTGAAGTGATAAAAACGATTATAGGTATTTTCTTGTGTACCGTTTATTAATTCTGTCCTGAAAGTTTCTCGAAAATAGAATTTATGTGTGTAATTAATCGTTAAGCACCCATTATAACATCGGCAATACTGGATATCGTGTGCGTTATCTCCCCGATATCGATATCGATATCAAGCTCGAGCAACAAAGGTGGTTATCAGCTAGCGCCTTACTGTGTAATTAGGCGTATATTACGTAGCGATACGGTTGTCGATTGAAACAGCAATAAATCAAGCAAACCACCCGAGAACCAATTTGCGCCCCAGCGTACCATGAACCTAATCGCTTTCTATACGAGACGACCATAATCTAAGTTTTCGAAACAGCGATCAACGCGTCTAGATAACCGTTCCGGGTCTCGAAACGCGATTTCTTGTGCGATTCGTCGCCCAAGTCGCGATTTCACATCGCGATTTGCTTTATCGCTCGATTGGCTTTTCCTTTAACATATCTATAAGTATTCTTATCAGCGCTTATTCCGTCACTCTCAAGATCGAGAGT